GTTCGAATGTGTGTTGAATCGATTGTTCGAATATTCGATGTATTCGACGACTCAGCATTTCTGCAAAATATTCCAGAACCATTTAGAGAAGGAAAAATAGGAACAAAACTAGGAGAAAAACGATAATAATCGACCGGAGTTTCCTGAAGCGCTGAAAAGACCTGCTATTTTGTCGCAGGACCTAGTTGGATTAAATTGAATATGCGCTCATATGATTCCATAATGGTTTATCTAAACTTGAACGCATCATTGTAATCTGTGTGCCTCGTTTTCAATAATTCATCATGAGTATTTACTCAGATTGTTGTTTTCTCTTGGTATAAAGCCGATCAATAAATCAATAAGAAAGTGGTTCATTGAACTACTATAACTAATCCGACTGTTGTTCGATTGGAGAAATTACGGAGCTATCACACTTGTATCCCACGGATATCTTCATTCTCGTATGCTGTATATGGTATGACCCTCGTCCCTTCTGGAGGTAAACACAGACAATTCACTTGCCCTGAAAACAGTGCACTCAGTGAATGGATGGATAGACTTTGTTGTGACGAAGTTGCTTTCCTTTTCGTGCTTGAATGTGTCTGTATGTTGACTCGACTAAAAGCCTGCAAGAAAGTGAATGGAAAATGTCTGAGAGGTACTTTACCCAATCACTAACTCCGGTGTCTACTCAAGAAAGTGACAAACGCTAGTCATCACTACACTGTTATTCCGCAGAAGAATCCGATTAAGAAGAAGAACCTCGAATGGGAAAACATCTACTTAGTAACTACCATGCTAAATTTCTAATCATAAGTTGTGAATGTAGGTCTTCCAAAGAAGCTCATGTGTTTAAACCCTGTTGAACAATTGGGTTTTCTTTCAACGTTGGCATAACGAGTTTCCGATCTGGTCTTTTCACTTCTCCATACACTTCACAGATCACACGACACATCCATAGATTTGCTGCATTAGTGTTGGTGGTTTTTAGAGAGCATATGGAACTAACTGATATCACTGATCGGTCATACGTGGGTATTCCTTCCACAGAAGAACTTAAAGTGGTGGTCCACACACCAGGAAGTATAGTGCCCAAAACGTGCATAAACCTAGTCGAACCTCCAAAGAGTAGTTATGGCGCACGTGTAATGGAAACCAATGGAGCTTTAAAGGATGTTTTTTGTGTTGTTCATACCATAGTCCGATTATTGGTCGAATAGATATTGAAGTAATGTCTCGCATTCGACTACGAATAATCGAATATTCGACGCATTCCAGTTATGATGAGATTACGATTGAGTAGTTTTTGTGGTCGTTGAACGCGAGAATAAATTTCCAATGAAATCGTGCATGTTTATGGTTAGAGTAGTCATTGTGTATTGTAGCGCTATTATCGCATTTGTTTATACGATCTATGGCATGTTGACCGACATCGTCATCAGTTACATCTCTGAAGCAGTCACTTGATGATGGCAACGTCTTCATGGTGACTTCTTCCAATTCTGTGACGTTCTCGTAAACATTACACATATTAGAACACGGTGTATCCAAATTTCTCGTTCCGATTTCTTTTTTTCGCTCACAAAACGACGTCTCACTCCACTTTCATTTAGCTCATGTTATACACTCGTCTTATGTTGCTGTCGCTGTTGTTGTTGTTGCTGCTGTTGCCGTGGTCCTTGTTGTTAATCGACTGAACTCAATCAGTCTTACGAGTTTCTTTAGAAATTTTAAATTTTTCAACGTGAACGTGAGATATCGTAGAGTGCAAGACATTCCAGAAATACCACTGGTCCGCCATCAAATATCACATTCGTCCTGAATGTGACGATCTGATTTTGCAGAATAATAACGATGGGAAAAGTGTCCCGTTATATGTTCTCAACTTTACACAGTTATTTTTAGAGTTTATAAACATTTTTATGGATGAATATAACCTTAATTGGCAGTAATAGTAATAATAATCTTTCTGTTCCATCTGTAATTCTTCTAATCATCGAGTAACATCAGGGGTCGTACGAGTAAAGTCTCAATTCGACCTCATACGGCAGTGCTGTCCAACGTTTTTAGCTTGTCTCTGGAAACACATGGCGCTTTTCTTCTTATAAAACCTTTACTCCTAAAGTTTTTCCTTCACTTACGAGATACTGCTATGGATAGCCAGCATGGCTCCTCAGTGGCATAGGTTTACTATTAAGTGGGCGTTAAAACTGGAAATTCCAACTTCTTGTTTCAGTGTTTGTGTGACATTGCAGAGGCAGTGAACCTCAGTATTGTAGTTAGTTCATCAAAAAGAACCACTCAGCCACGATCAGGTGTTAAACCATTGCGTAGGGTGTTGTATAATTGGTAATATTATTAGTGATTGAAATAACGATAATAAGACGGTGTTGTTGAAGATGATAAAGTTGACGGTTATGGCGAACTTCGTGCCGTTTGATGTCAACGTCATCAACGATTGAAATAACTACAAGACCTTAGCATACAAATTACCACGTTAAGTACGTCCGCAATTGATGACCATGACCATGATTATGATGACGAGCATAACGGCCCACAGCCCTATTAAGACCTTAACGTAAAAACTGAACGAAGCAATGTGTTAGTGATAACTATGTTGTGACACCGAAGATGATGATTAAGGTGACGATGGTGGTAGATGAGATAGACGAGCGGAAGTTACTCATCATGACGTCAACGCAGCAGTGCTTCCAGTATTCGACCAGTGAAACCACGGATCCTTCAGAATTATATGCAACCAGCTGGTGACGTCATTGTCATGTAGATGTGAACAACAAGAAGGCAAGGAAACCAAAATGAAATCCGACGACGTTAAATACTCGGATGGACGACGAATTATTCTGAATTAATGCCATATCATACGTGTGTGTGTGTTTCGGGAAATCACATCGGCCGATTTTACGATAGAATGGAATTGACACTCTGGAAAGGTCACATACGTACTTATCCGCACTCACCATACATCCACAAACACACATGCATACACGTGCAAACATAAACATATAAACACGCGTACATTATACTTATATCTACATGTACATATATGCATATACATAACGTGTTCACGCAGGCGTTCATATATACACATGCACGTATACATACCATAAAGGATAAAAGGACAAAGCTCTCGGCGTTGATCAATTCCTGAAGGATGCGCCATGCATTCGACTTCATTAAGCATCGTTTGGAGGTGATTGAGAGCATATCTGGCCTTTACAACGATTCGCTGTGGCCTACCGATGTACCGAGCCAGTGCTGCTATCCTCTTGGACAAGTCCGGCAGCAATTTGCCGACCCCGGAGGGATGGAGGGGCCATGGGCGCGAGTATCGATTCCATATATGTGTCGCAGTGGCGCCTCCAACCACTGCGCCACAAGCGCTCTATACGTCGATACATATGCATATATGCACATATATACATATACATACGCGTATATATATACATATACATATGCACATATATATGTGTTAGTAATTACACATATACGTATATACATATACATTTACATATATATATGCATATATGTATATACATAGGTGAATATGTCTATGCATATTTGTATATACACGCACACGTCCATATACACACATAAGTACATACACATGCATTCATACACATATAGATACACATACGCTATACAGACATACATATACAGACGTATACACATATATAGACATAAACGTGTCCGTAATGAATGATGAATAAAGAGCGAATAATGAATGACTAGTCATCGTCAACAAACTGCTATTCTGCCATCATCGTTCGTCAAACTGTCTCATATATCTGGAGGTTTTAATCCTTTTTCTTTTTCTTTTCCTTATAAAAACGAAAGTAATTACGTCGTGTGGTCAGAAATGAATAACCTCTTCTTTCTTTCCACATTTTGGATCGCAATTTAGAGCTTCGTTGTGGATCAAAATTAATTCTCTGATGGAGGACATTCTTATGGTCCCATTCGTTTGGTGTCCAACTGCAGGCCATCCCATTTTTGCCCTTCTTTCTCTTCAGAGTTTTTTTCCCACTCACCACCATATCTCTCTTCCCGGTTTAATGGACTGCGTTTTATGACGTTGTTTGCCTTTCATCCTGAATAGAAAATCCTCCTCAATTGTGTTTTTGGTGTTGTTGTTCCAGCCGTTGATCTTTCAAGTTGCCATTTGAACAAAACGAGAAACTCTTCGCAATTCATCATTTTCGATTAATCAGGAGACGTTTTAACCTTTCAGTTCTATTCGTCATCGCATGTGAAAAGATGTGTTGAATTAGAGAGGAAATCTTTCAGTTATAGAAATTATAAAACCGTTCGATGCTAACCTAGAACGTTGTCAGCTTGAGGACCGGGATCGTATAAAAGATTCTGTGTCTGTTATAAGGCACCTGCAATCATTGGTAAACATCTCTTTCCAAATATGGTGTCTACGTTCATTCTACACACTGAGAATCAGCTAGAAAGTGATGCAGGTCGCTGTGGGCGCTAATGTCAGACGTTGTCGAACAACGTTTAGTTTACATCGCCGTCACATAGTTGAGACGACACACAACGGAACGAAGCGAATGAATGCCGTCTATCGCTTTGTCACTGACGATCAGCAAGGTGATGTCGTCGGACGGGTTTACCTGGCATCATTTCGACGACGATGGCGACAAGACATGTTCTCATCCTGAACACTCCGAAACATCAAGAATGTGATGCAGTTCGTTGTACCCACGGATCGGAATCGTTGTACGTTTCCTTCCTTGACAAAGCATTTCTACGAGATAAAACGAATGAATGGCTTAGATCACTTCGTCACTGGCGATCAGCAACGTCATGTGTTCATCCTGAGCACTGAGAAGCATCCAGAATGTGACCCAGCTCACTGTCGGACAACTTTTCCCTTCTTTACTACTTCAGCACTTCGGCGAAACGAAGCGAATGAGTGCTATAGATCGCTTCGTCATTGACGATCAGCAACGTGATTACGTCGAACGTGTTCGCCTGACGTAATTTCGACGATGATCGTGACGCGGCATATGTTCATCCTGAACACTCAGGAGCATCCAGAATGTGGAGAAGGTGGTTATCGGAGAACTTCTCCTCCCTTCACTTCGCCGGCACGTCGACGAGACGCTCGTCCGGCGGGTTCTCGGAGGCTTGTCGCTCGCTCACTCGCTGGTTCGACGCACACCTGTTTATACACCACTGGTTGCCGATTTACTTAATTCGCTGATATTTGTTCAGTGTCATCTCGTCCGTCATCATATTTCGACCAGTTGATCTTTCTGCCTTCTCTCTATTCTTCTCCACATCGCTACAGAACCATTCATTTCATTGTTTATGTTTTTTTCACTTTCTTTCATTTCTTTCCAGATACTTCTACACAGCCTCTGAGAATGTTCGAAAAAGAAGACCGCTTGTTTACTAGGATTGTTAAAAAAATAATTCATTATTCGAGCACGTAAAAAAATTGTGACGATGAAAAAGTAAAAAGAGAAGGAAAGAAAGAATGGAAGACAGTTTTCTGTTCAATTTCCACTACATCGACGATGACGTCACAACTAATGCGAATGGAAATATTCGTCAGAATTGAATCATTTTAATCAAAACGATCAAAAGTCGCATAAGTAATCGATACTGGAATTTAGAAGCAGTAAAAAGTAAACAGTTTCTTTTACAGTTGTATATAATAATCGATATCATCATAAGAAAAACATTTCGATTATCTGGAAATCTATTAGGTTTTATCGATTTTCGCACAGTGGCACAAAATTCTATCAGTAAGAATTTTCCGACCAGAATGATTTTCTGATCCTCTACAAATAAAACAGTAAATAAAATGATAAAGTTCGTTGGCGCCATATTTATCGATTTTTCATGACTCTTTCTCAAACCTCTCTTTCTCTCTCCCTCTCTCTCTCTCCCGGAAGGCATGACTCTTGAATTTGATCATTATTGATTGATTCGTTTTGTGGAACCAAGCGCACCACTTGTTGCGCGTATTCTCTATAGACCATTTAATGAGAATAAAAAAATTGTCCCCATATTTAGATTGCTCCAGAAGTGCTTCATTTCGTGACGACTTTTTTCCTCCGGCTATTGACGTAGTGCTCGCTCACGGAGTGTTTCTCGTCCCGTGAAATCGTGAAAACTCCAGCATTGGCTGTTCCTTTTCCCCCGTAGTTGTTCCTCTTCTTGTCCGCCTATTCTCTTCATCGTGATATCACTTTCTTTCTCTTTTACGCGTTTCTTTCCTTCTTTTCCTATTCATTTTCATCACTGCATCTCTTGACACAAACGACGATCGTTTTTGTCGCCTCTCTGCTCTCGAAACTAATTTGATGGCGAAGAAGTGAAACTGGTTAAATGAATGTTCTCGTTCGACCTCGTCATTAGGTATAATCGATCACCAACCGACCGACTTCCTTCACATTCAGCGACGAACGACCATCGTCGGTAAGAACTCAACGAACCTACGTAAATAACGTTTACATCAGAAAGAGTTCCTGAAAAGTACCTATAAAATCATGTTTCCTTGTCTTTAGTCGGTTTTCTTTCATCGCGGTTTTTCAATTCATTCTATGTGTTCATTGTTTGTATGACTGGCTGCTCAACGACCCATTGACAAATATCAACAGCGCTAACGACGACGCGATGTAAAGTGAAAACTCAACGAATGAAAGAAAGAAAGAAAGAAGGGAAGAAAGAAAGAAAGTAAGTAAGTAAGTAAGTAAGGAAAAGAAGGAAAGAACGAAAGAAGGAAAGAAAGAAAGAAACTGCGACGACAATCGATCGACCATACACACAAAAAGAGTAACGGTCGAGTAAAACGACGACCAAGAAATCGCCGTGCACCGAAACGACCATGTGATCAATTCCTCGACTAATCGATTTTTTCTTCTAGAGGGACGTTTTCCTACAGATTTTCTTCGTTTTCTTTAGCCTTCTCTTTATTCTTCGTGTATCCGTGACGTCAGTTCGTTGTTATCATCGTCGGTGACCTAATGCCTGTCCTAAGCGTCCTGTGACGTCATTAATGATGTGTACGAGTTTGCTGGCTGATTTTCATTGAAAATCATCTAAGCGAATGGTGATTGTCGTTATTAATAGTGGCATTAGATTGTTGTTGTTTCTATGGTTACCGTTACTAATGCTCACTTTAAATCGCTACATTCTGTTCTCCATACAGTCATACGTAAACGTCTCCAGTACTTCCCCTAAAAATCATAGCTGGACATTTTATTACTTTATTGTACCATTTCTTAATAGTCGGCGTTTCGGTGGATTTGGCTTTCTTCAGAACGTGGGAAAGTTATATTAACTGCAAGCCTAAAATCGGCGAAAACCCTTCAAAATCTCAACAATAAAACCCGGACAGGTAAGTTTCAGTCTCATAAGAAACGAGAAAAGAAGGTACTCGAAGCTACTATCGATCTGCTGTTAGCTATTACTAACCAATAGTGGAACAACAACAAGCTCACGTGAGCTTATCGAGAAAACACCGAATTATTGATCGATGCCGAGGTTGATAAAAAGTCGATCTTGGGAACTGCACTTTATTTCTTCCTGTTTGCATTCCTTTGTTAAAAGAAATCGCTAATTGTGATGTGTTTGGAAATACATTTATGCCTCGTTTACTGAAAACATAAAGTTTAGTCCAAAAAGATCCCCAAATAGACTTTTCCGTGATAGCGTTTTAATCGGAATGTTTTTCTTGTTTGTCTTTCCGAGACATAGATTTTTGTTTTGAAAGGAGACGTTATATGACTTTATCACGAAATACGAACGGTTGTGATTCCTCTCGTTCTTCCTGGTCTTTGTGTGGTACAAATAAGATCTATTGCGGTCCCGCAACGAATTGCTGCATTCTGTATGAATGCGTGCTCTTCTGCATAAACCAACGAGACTTTTTGTGGATATTTGTCTCATTTTGGCTGCTGGTGGTAGCAGATTTCGATATTTTTCGTCGTGATTATCGAAGGCAATGTAAATATGTGAAGCATTCGCCTAACTATTTGTATAAAATCATAGTAAAATCTTAAGTTTCTTACTCAATCATAGACGGCTTCATTGAATACGCTATTAGACGAGCCTTCCTGGGTCTGTGGTAGACGATATGCCTACCGTAATGAAGTAATTTTTAGTTACCAAGGGTTCGATCCTGGAAACTGTATTATTTTCCTAAGGCCCCTTATGACAAATCTGGTAACTTCCTGTGTGTTTCAAATAAGAAGGACGCTTCGATGAAGTGAACCATTGCGGGACGAGAACCGTTCATGAAGAAAATTAAGCCCTAGTGTTGGAAATTCAACTAAAAGATGTACTGGGGCAGTTTGTGTTGTAAAGAAAACTGTTGCAAACTTGTTAAAGGGTTGCGAGGAGAACTTGAGAATAGTCGTAAAGTCTCGTATGAGTCGAGAATAGAACTATTCAGTGAAACTTTGAAATTCGACGAACATCCTGCTAAACTGCCTCCACCCTCAGAAAGGTTCTGCTTCACGCCGCCCGACTTCCTCAAGCACAAGGTGGTTGCCAGCTTTATTAATGGCAGGAGATTTCTTTAGATTTTATTGAAAAAATCTTAACAAACCATCAATGTACCAGTTCAGTTAAACAGCGAATTCATTAGAGCATTCGGGATTTTTCGTGTAAAATGGCCTTTCACGTCCTTAGGTAAATATCACTCGAAATCACTGTGAACGTTGTTTGCCGAAATGATTACCACCCAAGTTGTTCTTCAGCTTCGTTTTCCTAAGTTCCGTTTCCGGAGACATTCATGAGCTGGGGATCAGTCCAGTTATATTTTTGTATGAACTCGAAGATTAATGGAGAAGGGTTACTTGGCTTTTATGGTCTTCGTTTTGGAACTTGAACGTCAATGGTTAAGCTTTTTGATTAGGCAGCAAAAAGTACTTAAACGAAATACAACCAAAATGGTGTCGAGAAATTTGCAAAACTTAGACTCCAGGTCGGATTTAAACCCGCGGTTACTCTTTCCGTGAGTTCGTGTGTCACCCACTGCATCGTTGAAGCCCTCGCTTTGCTTACTTTGATCCGGTTTTTACCCTAACCGTACTAACAGCAATTACCCTTCAACGGGAATGATCTTGGGAGCACAAATCGGCATTGATCCCGGTTAAGCTTAGGCTATAGTCGAACTCAGAATATGTGACTTTTCATTTAGTGCCTCTTATTTTTCATGGCAGGACATTATGTGAAATACAACCACAATGATGCTGAAGCGTGAGAAAGAGTTACACATTGTGATTTCGACTACAATCTTAGGTCAATTGGACCCAATGCCGATTTGCGCTACCAGGATCATTCCTGTTGGCGGGTAATTGCTGCTGGTACTGTTAGGGTAAAAATTGGATGAGAGTAAGGCAGATCAAGGGCTTCAACGGTGTAGTGGGTAACACACGACTCTGCAAATGGTAATCGCGTGTTTGAATTTGGCCTGGAGTCCGAGTTTTGCAAACATCTCAGCATTTTTGTGGTTGTATTTCACAGAGTACCCTGCCATGAAAAACAATAGGTAGTAAATATAAAGACACACATGTCGTTTAAACGATTATACTCACGGAAGAATAGTTTGGAGATACACTTTACTAGACCAGCTTTCACCTACTGTCGGCCTAAACAACCAATATGTTTGTTTAGATTCCCATGACCGACTTTCTGTTAACCTCGGCATTAATTGATAATTCGACCGACCATGTATTACTCTGTGCGGCGGCTATCCACCAACTAACTTAAATACTTACGACAAATAAACGGCTCTGAAGAAGGCGAAACCGCCGAAACGTCAGCAATTGTGTTCTAATAAATTCTATTTTAACAACCTCGTGTCTGCTTATTGATGAAAAACATTGAATTTGTTTAGATTGTTCAACTCACACGAAGTTGTTATATAATCCTTGTTCAACAAACGGTTCGACATCTTCGTCTTCTTGAGACCGATTGTTCCGAGTCGATGGTCCACAGTCATTCGTGCTCCTCCTCCGTGCCATGCTCCAATCAAGGAGACTGAACTCGACTATGTGGACCAGTAGCGCCAAGACGAACGACTGAGGACCATTGGTTGGGATCATCAGTTCTGGAAAAGTAAGCTTAATAGTCTAAACAAGCGTGTAGTTTGGGAGAAACTTGAAGAAAAACTGGAGAAGAAAGCCGAGTAGTTGCCGTGGTTGGTAGTGGACAAGACGGACGGAACATCTGGTTGTAACGTCGGTCATCGGCCATTAGTGTAATTCACTCGGCCATTATGTCTCTATGTACCTCTTTGTTCCCAGCGTCAAATTTCCGGTGCTTCATCGGTTTCCCATTGGACTGCGGTAGAAACTTAACCTGTAAGATGTTTTTCTTAAGTTTTCTTGTCGTCGTATAGTACGAAACTAGGCCTACCTAGTATTCCTATGTTGAATACGTCTCTAGAAGAACATCTTTCTTAGAATGCTATCATATTTAAATTATGTAGAAACTATTCTTTGATACTCACTTAGATCTAATCTTTTCAACGACTGAGAATATTCGCAATATCTATCAAAGTTTAACTACTAGGGAGTCGAACTTGTTTACGGCGCTATCCCTAGCCAAACTTTTCCTTTTTAGAGTTCGAACATCGGTCCTTTATCGTAATTCGATCAAGTTTTTCCTTTTTTTCCGAGCCGTTTCGATGTTGAGGCCAGGCATCAGCACCATATATCATTTCCATTTTGGTTAGGGTTCATTTTATGATCACGTAGATGGTTTACAATTCTTCTAATCTCTCAGATTTTCATGAAAACTGCAAACGGTAAGTGTCCCTCCCTCTATGGATTTCGATCACTTATCTATTGTTTGTTTTACTAGTCACAAAAATAGCTTGCTGTTTTTTCCCGTAAGAGTTGGTCCGCCGCTTGATCGCTGCAGCTGACCATAAAAACGTGAGAACGAGCATTGGTACCAAATTGAGCACATTGAACCCAGTTGTTATGTATTCTTTCTTTGATAAGCCTAGACGAAGTTGATAAATGATCCTTATTCGGCTATGGTTTCGACGTCTTCGTCTTCCTCAGAGCTAATGATCCAACTCGATGGTCCACAGTTATTCGCTTCTCGATGTGGTGTCTTCCTTGTATGGAGTCGGATTTTTATCAGTGGAGCACTCCCCGAAGGAGATCAAAAGGTGGAAGATCCGACTCCATACGAAGATGAAGACACCGCATCGGGAAGGCGAACGACTATGGACCATCGACATGGATCAATCTGGCTGTGATGAAGACGAAGGCGTCGAAATGTTACCCGAATAGAGATCATTTATCAACCTCGTGTAACCCTATCGAAGGAAAAATACGTATTGATTAGTCGTGCCGTGGCTAGAGGAAAGTCGGTTTTGAAATATTTTTGTTGTTATGTTTATAATCAACGGTGGATTGAAAGCCTATTGTTGACAAATATTGCTGGTCTTTATGACATCTGTTCAGTGATGTGAAGAACTTTGTATGAAGTTCTCGTTCTCAACGTAATTGTGGATACAAAGTCGAATATGATTTGAACTGGAATGATCATCCTCTTATGAATCCTGAAGGCAACACAGCCTACTTGTCATTCTCTTCCTTTCATCCTGATCATTTTCCACGGCGATGGTAACTTGTTGTTTCGCGTATCATTCTACTTTCTCCCATATGAAGTCAGTTTGTTACTTGGACTGATTTCCCCAAGTCTTCAGTTGTTTTCCTTGTATTTTCAATATTTTCCAGACTAAAACTTTATTAAAGCAACATTTTCAGTTGAATTAAGGGATTTTGTTTCCCCGGAAACGAATTGCGTGAATAGGAACGGGGTAGAAGCTGTTAGAAATTTAGTGGAGCTGTGATTTTCTTACGATTTATTGTCTGTTTCTGTGTACTTTGAGTTCAGAGTGCGCTGTTCATCCAGAAAATTGTATCTGATTTTCCAGAGTGAATAAATGTTATTATTGTAAATATCGTTCCCTCTGTCCACTTTTCCGATGGAGGGACCTCCGCTGATGTGCCGTCAATCTGTTGATGAGGACGATGTGCAAGGTGCGAGAGACTTACGTCCTTTCCTCTTCTTTTTTTCTTTTTCAGCAGTTTTCGCTTTAAGGAAACTCACTTTTTGTTTGGAACACTTTCGTTTGTGGTTATTACTGCGGTTTATTCCATTGTCATGTTTTATAAGAGGCGCGTGCAGTGCAGTGATCGGAGGCGCCTATGCGACACACACATGGGGTAGATTCCATCGTCCCAGGCTCACCAGGCCTTTCATCCCTCCAGGGTTGGCAAATTGCTGCCAGACTTATCTGGGTGAATAGCAGCACTGGTTTGATACATTGGTATTCCACCGTGGTTCATTGCAAAGGCCAGATATGCATACAGTCACCTCCAAACGATACCTAATGAAGCCGAATGCATGGCCCATCCATCACGGAATAACCATCGCCGAGAGCATTATCTTTTATTTTATCTTTTTGTGCTTTCTAAGTAGTATTCTGTTAGGTACGAGTAATCGCAACTTCAACTGTGTTTTTCCTTAGCATTCATAATGAATAGATTAAGGTTAAAAAGGCCAACGATACCTTAACGAGATTTGCATCGATCCACTGTTAACACTTACGATAAGATTTGTAAAGTCATACGAAGCAGTAAAAGTTCGTATTTAACGAGAAAGAAGAAACAGAAACATTCGAAACAATCAACTGCGAAAATCTCCGTCGTAACCAGCTATGGAGTTTTTTGCGAAATCACAGTTTTTTCTTGTGTACCTAAGATATTTGCAGTTGTTTAGGTCTTGGATATGGTGTTGGTGACGGAGGAGGTGGACCGTTCTCTAGAGTTCTTCTGGAGCCAAATGTTCATGATGTGATGAGTATGGAACTTGCTCACCATGATATGGGCGGTATGCCTCTTTTCTGACGTTTATTCCAACTAGATCTCAAATCACCGCTTTACAGTTTTCGCTTCCCTCAGTTTGTTTGGTTACTTAACAATTTTTTCAGGTTATTTGGATCCTAGAAGCTTCGGTGGAGGTTCACTCGGATTCGATGATTATAACGGTTTGTTTTCTCAGTTTTTACTTCTTCTACTTAACTTTACTCTTTTGTTTACTTATTTGCATAAACACTCAGATGGAACAGTTTTAGGGTCGTCGTCACTGTACGACGTCAATACTTTTGGTGACGAAATTTCAAACGAACAGAAGTGTTTGTTCACAAGCGATGGCTCATCGTTCACTCAAGGTTTTACATGTACTTTTCAGTCCAAATTTAACTTACGAGATTTACCATTCTTTGTGAGACAATTTGATTACTCTTTAGTGAATTCTAACGCTCACGTGAAACTGGGTGGACGAGTGGAACATTTCGCCTCTTCGATTGCTAGCAACAAGTACGAAGGCACGGTTAGGTAGGTTGCACCTTTAGCTTACTTGTTAGAGAGAAGTTAGACATCGTAGAAAAGCTTCGAAATCGCATGAATCTCGTTTATTGGTGTCATAATCTATTGGTTTTAGACTTGATCAATCAAGAAATGTGCCAACGTATCCTGTGAAAACTGCAAACCCTTCAACGTGCACGCAGTATGCTCCCGTTAGGACAATAATCGGGTAACAAATGCTGATATATATATATATGGCCATCTTGTACTTCTGCAATATTGCCCACATCTTTAAGTTCTTCTATGAAATCACACGGAAGCACTCCAAATCGGCGAGCGACGTCTCGGAGTAACCAGAAGAAGGAGGCGATAGATCCAAAAAGAGTTGAAGACGAAGTAGCAAGGTTATCTTTCTTTATTATATATAAAGCTTTTCTACCTTATATATCACGCTTTACAGAAGCAATATGTTTATTTGCCAAGAATTTATTTAGTAAGATGCAATGAGAATTAGTTACCAACGGTTTACCGTCTCGTCGTGGCTGGGTCTTCCTGGGTGTCGGGCTACGATCTACAACGGAAAGTTTCATCCCTTCGGCAGAGTTTCCCAAGCTGTGAAGGAGTCCAGCGTTTCCATGAGGAAACCCAGCTAAGAGTGAGCCAGTACCAAGATTCATCACGGTCTTGGTATCAAACTAGTCGCATGGTGGCAAATCTCCCTCTTTATAGTATCGTGGCGGCTGCGATGGATGCACTTGCGTGTTAGTGACCGTTGAGCCGCTCACCTTTTAGCTTATCCACAAGGGCTGCGACTGCCTCTGGTAGTGATGATCTCGGGCAGACTTTGGCTAGGTTGACCTCGGCGCTCCAGGGAACCACAATGGCTAAACCAGTAAAGTCCCCCAAAAATGGGAATTATGCTGGTGCCCGCACAACCAGTGAAGACGGGTCATCCAAGTATCCAAGTATTCTGTGCAATAATCACGAAAAACAGCGGTTTCTTTATGAAACCTATATAGTGAATTTATTAGAACTTTTTCGAGTAGTCTTTTATAAACAGAATTTGATCAGAACTTGGTAACAGTCATACTGATGTTGAAATATTTTGAAAACTCCTGACCGCAGGTGTCTGCAGTGGGGAACCAACGCGCTATTGTCTTTTACGTGGAGTAACGCGTTCACCACCGCACCATGCGGGTCTTTCGTTTTGGCACTTGGTAATAGTGTTATGTGTTGTGCATGGTTTGCAGGAATGTGTCACAAATTTTGTCCGCAACAAAACAGCAGCGACTTGCAATGGAAGCACAGCAACGCAGTGGTACTGTTGCTCCACAACAACCAAGGATCGCCTATGCTTGTCCTGACTGTCACAAAACGGTGACCAGTGCAAGGAACCTCCAGGTGAAGGTCCTTCTTTTTTCCATGTTAATTGGTAGTTTATGTTTACCATCTAAATGTTATATGCTCTAGCGTCATCGCCAAACATGTCCGGCCAGAACTGGTGGTGGAAATTCCACTATAGGAATGCCTTCATCTTCACTACCTCCGTCTTCAGGCACAGTATCCCAGACATCTACCTCGGTGGTGATATCACCAACCTCATCTTATTCCAATCTTTCCTTTAATAACTACAACCTAGTCAGTTTTGTGTTTATATGGACCACTACTGTAACCTTAGTTCGAAGACTAATTTGGATAGAGGTCGATTTAGTCTGCCGAAGAGCAACATTATACGGACTGGTCTCGGAGCACCAGCTACTCTGCTCCTCAATCTGTATCTAGTCAACACGAACGGTGTGTCAATGAGCCAGCGGAGCAACTTGGCACATTAGATCCCAGCAGGTTTGATTTTCTGGAAAAATATCACTTTAAGTTGAGCTTTTATGCAAGAATGATGAGGAGTAGCAGTTGTTCAGATCATTCCAATCATTGCAGCGATGAATTATTTCGTTTTGATTTGCAAACTTCTTTTTTATTTGATACAGTTTTTCTGCGTAGTTTATAAAGCTAAAAGAAGCTTTCGGCGTTAATGATTCCCTAAGAGATGCGCCATGCATTGGACTTCATTAAGCATCGTTGGAGGTGACTGAATGCATTATCTGGCCTTTACAATTACTCGGGGTGCCATACCGTTGTATCTAGCTAGTGCTGTTATCCTCCCATACAAGTCAGGTACCAATTTTCCGACCCAGAGGGATGGAAGATTTGGTGGGCCTTGGGCGCGAGGATCGATTCCACGTGTGTGTCGTAGGGCGCCTCCGACTTCTGCGCTGCACGCAGCTGCGAAATTAATGTGAATTTAAGTGTTCTTAAGTGAGGAGCATCAGTGTGTAACACAGCCCAAACTTGTTCGTAAAGATTTCATGCTTCATGAATCAGATCTGAATGTTAGGTTTCTTTTATACATTTTTAAGACGTTTTCGTTCGGGACATCTATTGAATAACTCTAGAAATAAACTCGATAGTTGATATTGAAGTGGTTGTCATATAATCGTTTCACATCTTATAGTTTTTTCCTATAGTAAACCACAATTGGGAGCACATCTATGACGAAACTTTAAGCATTTCTTGTCGTCTGGAAAACGCATGTCTTCATCCGCTATCACTTGATCTTGATGAACCAAGGGCTCTGTCAAGTAGCGGTTCAACGAGCTCGGCATCTACCGGGACACATTTGTCTAGTGCTCTATTCACGTATGTTACCATTTTTTGCGTGTTATTTTTTGCTTCCTCAATCTTTTTTGTTCAGATGTGAATCGTGTAAGAAGTCAGTTTCGTCGCTGCGTAGTCTGAAACGTCACCACACCACTTGTAAGCAATACATAGCTGAAAATGGTCCACCTCCTGAAAGCGAGTGCGTTTGCTCAGACTCATTATTCATTATTCATTCAATGAAATTCTCAGTTGTAGTTTTTTTTTTTACTAGTGTGTCAGTGTTCTAGTCGTTTAAGCTTCCCCGTAACTCTTTTTGGCGTTGAACCATGACGTCAGCTTTGGTTCTGTTCTGATATAGTGAATTCCTATGTTGTGACGGGCGCCGTGTTTGTGATGTTGTACTAGTGATTTTTGATTTTCAGCCACTCATCTTCCAAGAGACACTGTCCGTCGTCATTTAACGACGATTTACTCACGCTAGCCATAGTGAATTCTTCTGTTTCTGGCGTTGTGAAACCCTCTTCGTGCTCTTTACCCCAAGCTTCGCGATCTGCAGCTGTAGTGACTGTGATGTCGAAGCGTGATCATCTTCACCTTGATCCGTGTCCCAGAGCTCCTTCGCAGTTTCCGGTCGTCACGTCATCGTCGTGCTGTTGTTCGCTCTTTGTATGCGACTGCACTCCGTCAACCTCTCCTGAGCAGTCCGTGTCGTGGTGTGTTTTGATGTGTTTTCAATTCGAAACTCTGTTCGTCTAATGACATACTTTCTTCTAAAGGTCATCTCATTTCGTATTAATAGAGAGCCCGTAATTCTGTTTAAGGTCCCCTCAACGCAAACCGCTGACGCTTTGTGGTGAAGTTGCTATTTGCACGCGTTCATAATTTTGTACCTATTAGACTTTTTCGGAGAAATTGTGGCTATCGTTATGTTATCGAAAACTAAACGGTCTTTTCTCATCATTAATCCAGCTTTGTCTGGGATAGATAAGCACGTTCTGCTCGATACTTTTACGTAGTGAATTAATGTTTCAGTAAAACAGATCATTTCAGCATTTATATGTTCTTATGAACTGACCTTACTGAGCTGGTACGAGATTGGCATAAGTTGTCTTTCTTGTTGTTGTTGCTGTTGTCGTCGCAGTTGTCGTTGTTTGTCGGTGGCTACCGTTTCGGCGATTCCGCCTTCTTCAGAGCCGTGCTCTTGCGTGTGGAGCACACTGAAAATGAAGACACTGAGAAAGGCGAAATCACCGTAACGTAAGCGTCGACCAACAACTACAATGACATGGGCAGCAGCAACAGCATCAAAACAACAACGACGACAACTAATACTAACCTCGCGTCAGCTCAATAAGATCAGTTCATAAGAACATGTAAATAAGTATTTCGATTATTTATGCCGAGGTTTTTATGCTGTCGGTCTTTTGAGTGATTTCAGCATATTTGGTGCTGTGAAATTTTCGATTAGCGTGGGTATAAAAGCAAGCTAGAATCATTGATAATCGTTGGTGTGGTATATGAGAGCAGTTTGAGTGATTCCAAATTTGTTCCTTCATGTTCGAAATGTTGTTCATGCAGTTAGTATTCTTTGTTCAGGAACATGATATATTAGTTGTTGGTCTGTTACAGCGCTCCGAAGCTCGCTGCAAGCAATAACACGTGTGAGGATTGCAATCGTCAGTTGTGTTCGGCTAGCAATCTCAAGAGACACCGAGCCACATGTAAAATCGTCATGCAGAAGTGATATTTACCATCGTTCGATTCATCAAATAGTGACATAGTATGTTACTTGTAATGGATAATTTCAGACAGTATTCTAAAAACGGTGGAGTTGTCTCTCCAGTGTCGAAGCCTATGCAGCAGCAGGTAACTGATATTTGAGTATTTCTTGCAAGGTGTTGCTGTCAATTGCTGATTTAGAAGTGGCAATCTGTGGAAATAGCTGCCCGTGAACGGATGATCATCGACCGTTCATATGCAGCTGCAATCGCAGCTAGCCAAGAGGCTCAGCAACAGGTTTCGCAGCACTCGCAAATGGTGAATCGAGCGAATTCGGATAGTAATGCAACTTTCGTTGTGGTTCAAGACCAAGGCGTCGTCGGAGAAAGACCATGGGTAGGTAACTTTACCTCTTTTGGTTTTAGAATCCCCTTATGTTGCTTGATTTTATTATAAAGTAACGAAATACGCCGTTTTAGTGATGGAAAGATGTTTTCACGCCAGCGTATTATGTGAAATACCACCACAATGGTGGTGAGATGTTTGCAAAACTTAGACATCAGGCTAGGTCGAACCGCTGTCACCTTTTCTCGGGGCTCACGTGTTACGCATGAAACCACGGGTCCTAATTCAACCTTTCTCTCAGCCAGTTTTTACCCTAACGATGCCATCAGCAATCACCTGTCAACGAGAGTGATCTAGGGAGCACAAGTCGACATTAAACCTTAACCCTTCAGCACCTGGAAAGAGATAATTGCGGTTCGAACTGACATGGGGCCCAGGTTTCGCGAAATATCCAGCATCAATCACTGTGTTGCTTTTCCTTTATTTTATTATCTTTGTTGTAGATAACTGTTGGAGAACATCTGCGCGCTCAGCATATGCAGCAAAAGGTACTCGAAGCTCAGAGTATGCAAAATCAGAACACTGCAGTTTCTTCTGCTGATTTGCCGTCGGAGCCTTGTGAGACTGATGATGCGACGAAGCTGACTGTAATTAAAGAGGTATGTGCCATATAGTAATTGAAGTTATTGTGAGCTTTACCCCATAGTCGTGATGATATCTAATGCGTGAAGAGATGCTTTTTTAAACTCAAGAAGTTGGAGGCTTACACAAACATGACTGCATTGTTTTCTTCAAGGAGCATGAGGAACATAATCAGGACGAAAACGTGAGCGTGGAGGAAGAAAAACCTCTGGACCCTTCGCATATAGCGGATGCCAAATCATCCATGTCATCTTACAAGTGCACTAACATTATTTCTCGTCTTCCAATGTCTACGCACCCGAATGCAGTCATGCGCTCCGCCTCTACTGTCGAGCAAAAACTAATTCTTGAGTATGTCGGCTTCCTTCTAAATTTCATGGCTTTTAAAACTATGATATTGATTCTATTAGAGTCACTTCTTTTTTCAGCGTCAAGTCCGCTATAGGATCGGGATCCCAGTCTTCGCAATGCACATCATCACCGCACATAACTCCTCTCGAAAGTATTATTACGACGCGGCCGTTGCTTAGGTGGTTATTAGTATTTCTGAATACGTTGCTTGTTTTCGTTCAGTCTTACATTCCTGTTTTGTTCTGGTTTCGTTTGGAGTGAGACATCCTGTTCTTTCCGCTTAAGTAGTATAATAGGTGAAAGCAATACGTACTATATGCTATAATTAGAGTTTCTTTAATTCATTAAAGAACTTTAGTGAACGTCTCACTACCTCGTTTGGGACACCACGAGAAAGTGGTGAGCATCGTAGTTCGGATTCTATACAAACAAGCGTTCCTGCAGGTGGATCTGTAGCGAAATTATCACCCAGTCGCCAACCAACTTTACTCTCCTCTGAATTCCAGTGTCCAGAATGCATGAAAACGTGGGTCTCGTTAGAATCCTGTCTTTTGAATGAATAGTTAGTTTAACGGCATTTCTCTAGATATTCATGTCGAAAGAATGTGAAGCGCCATCGTATGGCTGTGCACAAGCTGTCACAAGAAGAGGTGTCGAGACCAGTGGGTGCTTCACATTCCATAGGAAACGTTGGAGACTCTTCCTCTATTCCACAACTTGGGCAGCAACTGAACAACCGTTTCTCAGGAGCAAGAAATGATCTGAAAATTGATTCTCAGCAACAACTTCTGGCCAATAGGTACCAAGACAAGGTGGGAAATTGCCCTAGAGATATGTGTTCCTTCAATGTTAACCTTAAATGCGTCGTTTTCTTGTTCAGCATTCGCGAAGTTTTTAAACATGCATTTACTTCTATAGAGAAACAATACAATGCAACACTAGCTGACATTTCGGCAGTGTCGCCTTCAGAGCCGCTTTTTACGTGACTTCCAGTGAGGAAGTTTAGAACAGCTGATTATAGTCGCATCTTGCTGAACATTGCTGATTGCTGAACAAGAAAGCGACGCATTCATATTCCAATGCCGAGGTTAATAGAAAGTTGATCCTGGGAACTACTAACCTGAAATGTTAAGGTGGGAAGTTCATGGATAAACTCCCATCAGTTACACCACCCCCCTTTGGAAACCTCTTGGGCCAGGTCGCGAGAATACGTGGATGATGAGGAGAGTGCCGAAACTGCTAGGATTGCAGCCGAGCTGAAGCGAAGTGTCGAACAAGAGGTAAGAAGTTCCTCTTGTTTACGATTAGAACTATTTCACAATACTTTTTGAAGATGGCCGAGATTGAAGGAAAGAAACCACGTACCGAATTAGCTGAAGCTGACACGACATTCAATGAAGAGACTGAGTCAGGGTAAAAAGACAAGCATCAAATACTCCGAAAAGTGGACACATTCATTTGAACGTTTTGTTCAGGTGCTCCCTTACTCATGATTCTACTCGAATGCAATCTCTCAGTGCACCAGTTAGAGGTCAACCCAACGCGAATGTTTCGGCACACTCTTCTTTGAAGTCTTGGATTGATCAGAAATGTGCGTGTTTTACTTACATTTTGCCTAACGAGGATCTCAGGTAGCCCTTAGTGACTAAAAATTGATTTCATTTTCTAAGAACCGCGGAAGCCCTTTTGTGATTTCCTAGATATTGGAAACCTCTTTTCAGATTTATGGCGGGATGTACTTCTTTGCTATGTAAAGTAATGTAACTGCGACTGCTTTAGCTCTGTCGCTAGATATGATGCACGCTCCGCGGTCAAGCGCTCAAGGAGGTCAGTCAACTTCAACTCGAACCAGCAAGCGACCGCCGCATGTCTGTTTTGATTGTAATCGGTTAGTTCTTATGTGTGATTTTAATGTCGTTTATATCTTGTTTTTAACTTCGTGGTGCTTTTACTCGTCTAAACTGTTTACCGTCTCATCGTGGCTAGGAGGTGTTCCTGGCTGTCGGACTACGATGTGCAGCGGGGGTATTCATTTCACCGGCAGAGTCTGCCGATCTGGGAAGGAGTCTGACGTTTCCATCAGGAAGCCTAGCTAAGAGTAAACCAGTACCAGGATCCACCACCGTCTTGATGTCAAGGTCGTACTGTGACAAGTCTCCCTCTGATCCACAAAGGCTGCGACTGCCCGTGGTGGTGAAGAGCTGAAACAGACTTTGGCCAGGCTGTCCTCGGGATTCCAGGGAACCACAATGGCTTAGCCAGCAAATCTCCGAAAAGTGGAGATTATGCTGAGGCCCGCACAGTGATGGCGGGAAATTCAAGTGTCAAGTATCAAGTGCTTTTATCATTACCGAAATAGTGCTCATACCATTGCTTCACTTCACTGTCAAGCTCTGATATGCCGTTGATTAATTGGTCCGACTCATCATGATGTTATTCGGCGCATATGATTCGTCATGCCAGATTTATCATAAGATGATGAATGACAACGATGCGGACACTGTAGTAGGAGCCGTCGCACATGGCGTTGCAGAAGGTGACGTTGTGGTCCTTGATCTTTGCACTAAAAATAGTATTTTTTCTCATAACCACGGACCGCATTTCGCACAACTGGTGTTCCAGGACGCGATGTTTGTGAAAGGAAACCTGAATCTGCTAGTGGTGCATTTCGAGATGTTGTTTGTGATGAAAACAAATATTTACTGATGTCGGATTCTGATGAGGAATGGCGGAGAAATAATGCTGATGGACTGCCGAAAGCGGAAGAGCGGTTTATTTGCCCAAGTTTGAGTCAGCGTCAGAGAATCAGTCTAATTCGAGGAGACAAGTACTTCCGCCAGTTCAACAAAAAACAAAATATACATATCGACACCGTGTGCTGGTTTCTACGCACAAATGCCAACACCGTTTATGTTATGCAGTATCTAACCATCATGCTTGCTCCCTATTCCACGATGGCAATAAAAGTCTGGGAAGGCTCCCTGCCGCCTTCATCTGTCAGTTAGCCCTATTTCTCCGCGATTCATCATCAAAATCCGGTATAGCTAAACATTTTGCTTCCATCACAAACAACATCTGAAAGCACACTACTAGCAGATTCGGGTTCTCTCTTATCGTCATCGAGTTCTGGAACAGCAGCTGTGCGAAATTCGGTTCTTAATTTTAAGAAAAAATACTGTTTTGTGTGCAAAGTTGACATTAGGAAGGCAGAAAAAAGTCGAGGACCACGACGTCACCCTCTACAAAATCATGTGGACGGCCCCTATTCCGGTCTCCGCATTTCTGTCATTCATTATCCTATGGTAAATTTGGCGTAACCAGTTGTATACGCGGAGTACACCATGATGAGTCGGACCAATTAATCAACTGCGTATCAGACTTTGACAGTGAGGTGGAGGAATGGTGTGAGCGCTGTTTCGGCAATGATAAAAGCACTAGGAAGTTAGAAATCAGACAAAACTACGAGAAATCAAGAACTCTGAAAACAAGAAGAACATTGTAAAGTACGAAAGGAAAGGGAAAATCTTGTTCTTCTTTCCGTTTTTGATTACTTCACTGTTTTTATGCGTAAAATAATAGCACGTAGAGAGATTAAACTTACCCAAGTTCGTGTTCGTTTTCGTTTTGAAGCAGTTATTCTGCTCAAACAAGTCTGATTAATGTACCATTTTGGTATCACTGCTTCTTCTATGAATGGTCAACTTATTTGTCGCATGTTTTACTTGATGTGGAACCCTTCATGACATTTATGTTCTGAGTTTTTTAGCGTTTTGTCATCGGATTACTCATTACGACGTCATCGGTTAACATGTATCGAGGCCCGAGCTAATAGCGCGGCTCAAGCGACGGGTCCACCGGGATGCGTGAACGCTAATGCTTCATCACTAGGCGAGGAGTCCGTTCATCTACAGGATGTTATGCTAGGCAGTGCTTACATTGGGAGTGACCGCAACACGGTATGAGAAATACCTCTCAACCATCTGTAAGCACAAATTTTACGGCTTTAAGTTAATGCCTTTCAGGATTCAATGGGGATATCCGATCCTATGCTGAGCCACATTGCTTTATCCACACCCGTCCTTCAACAAAATGTCCAATTCAATCGATCAGCATCTCTGAGCGGACCAGCAACGACACCAGATGGATGGTATGAACGTCACTCGCTCTGTAAAACTGATGATGTTCCCGATTCTACAACTAGCCAAAGGTATTATTCTGTTTGTTCTTTTATGCAAAACTTTCTAGAAGTTGAAAGTTTAGATTGGATCGCTCGACCTCACCTGGATTGCTACCGACATCAGAAAGCGCGCAACCTGGTTGTCTTCAGTACACTAGAAAACAAGCGAATTCTGGCGGAGGAAACGCACGAAGTGATGGCTCATCCTGTACGCAGCAACATAAACATCTTTGCCAAGTCAGTGATTCTATGTAAAAGTGATCGTTGAGGTCTTCTTTCTCAAGTAGGTTCTCCATAGTTTCCACTTTTATATCACCTCAGCTGACTAGTAAAACTGTTAGTACACCTCACGCTTGCATTAGTCCACTTCCTAGGTATTCATACAAGGTAAGTATTTTTAGTGAAGTGCAAATCACTTTATGTTTGCGAAGAATTCTGTTCGCTTTCCTGTCCGATGTATAACATTTGGCTGTGCAAAAATATAGCTTTTCGCATATATGAGTGTTAACGGAATAGTGGTCAGTGGTATATAGTATATGTTCATGGTATCACAATATGTAAAAAGTCTTCTTCAACTGCTTTGCTATCTAATCTAAAAGGAAATGTGCAATAACTTTTGGAGTTTTTGGCAGGTTAATTACGTCAGGTTTAGATGCATTTGATCAAATGTGGGTTACCTCTTGATGTTGTTTGAAATGTTGTGGCTTTGCTATTGTGCTGCAGTTGGAGATGGTGGGTGTGGTGGTGATGGTGGTGGAGGTGGTGGTGGTGGCACGGAATTGTGATGTTTGTGGTTTAGTTAGACCACTACGATGGAACGGTGTCGATTTTGGAAAACGCTAGGATGGAATGTGATTGTAGCCGTAGTGTTCGTTCTATCACACGATCGAGCCACCTATGATTTGCAGACTTCAGCTCGATTAAGCATTACTCACTGCTTCTCAATGAAGTAATTGTTGTGCCAGATCTTTCGTCAGCTATCATCTTTTTCATTAGGATGCATACAGGCTTTCTTTTTTCTGTAACGATTTTTACATTACAATAGTAATTACTCTTTATGTACGGCACCATACAGTGTTTAACAGCAAGCTTTAATGAGATCACCTTCCCTAGGCTAATGTCATCCATTGGTATAAAAATATTCTTTTTTTGACTACAACAGATTTGCTGGGAAGGAGAAAGAACACTGAACTCACGTGTGTTTGTTTCCATTCTTACTTGAGAACTAATTTAATCTTTGGTTTAAACCATCCTTCCAAACCAAAATCCTTTATTTGCTTAACTTCTTTAAAGTTTATTCGTTTATGCTAACTGTATATTTCGTATTTGGTATTGCACAGATTCGGTTTCATACTCTAGTCCTTATAAGCGCGTGGCACCTTACTTTATTCCTTGTACCGAATTTTTCGAAATTTGTTGGTCTTATTTTGAAAATTTTTCAGGAGTTTTAGGATTTATGTAAATCGTCCTATAGGAATTTGCCACTCGTAGTTCTATTTTTAATGTATGAGCTTTGGAATCAGGTTCATCGGTTCTGGTCTCTTATTTGTTGTTGAAAATACGAGTAATTGAAAATAAATGGACGGTTCACGTTGTTGTTTCTGTGCATTCCTGACTTAGATAGTGAGCAGAGTAGTGGACAGTAGCCTTATGAAGTTACCTTTTAGCATCCTACACAGTCTTGAAACGTTGTACGAGTCGTGATAGTTTTTAGGCCTGTGGCAAGTTCTACTCCTCGGAGTGGAATCTGGAACGGCACAGAAGAGAATCGTGTCCGGTTAAGGGAAAGGTATCACCTGCGCAAGAAGTGTGAGTACTCTTGTCGCATGGTATTTGGGAGTTTTTGTTGTTTTCGTCTTCTGTTTATTTCTAAGCTGTTCTTTTTCAGTTCGGAAAATGTTAATGATGAAGCCAGTGTTCAAGTTGGTCACACTTTGTTTCTCCTCTCACGATCGGCTTTATCTCGAGCTTCGGCATATTTCGCGCAGCTCTTCGCCATGCATGATCCCTTGAAGGGAGAACTTCGTCTTGAACTTGATCCTACACATTTTCAGTCGCTTCTTGATGTCTATAATAACCCCAGTAACCTCAATCGTATGTTTTAATTTAGGTCTAATTTGTGTACGAGAAAAAGGTCTTGCTAGGTAGCTTACATTTTCTAGAGTATAACATCGACGCCGTTGTGATTTTGGCAAATCGACTCAAGTTTAGTACTGTCTTCGATAGCTGTGAGAGATACATAGCTGAACAGGTTATTTAAGTTTCTGTCCCAAAGTGATTGTTTATAGCTTCGAACTAACATTTGTTTCCAAATCCATATAACCATGGGGTAATTGTAGCAAATAGGAATTGGATAAAAAAAATGATAAAGCTCTCGGCGTTGATCAATCCCTGAGGGATACGCCATAACTTCACTAAGCATCGTTGAAGATGACTGGGTGCATACCTGGCCTTTACAATGACTTGCGGTGGTCTACAGATGTATAGAGACAGTGCTGTTATCCTCCCAGACAAGTCTGGTACCAATTTGACGACCCCGAGAAATGGAAGGTTTGGTGGGCCATGACGGGCGCGGGGATCGATTCCATGTGTATTGTAGGGCGTCTCTGACCACTAGGCTACACGTGCCCTCACGAGTATATCACAAAAGTTCACGGTAGGTTACGCTCCTGGATCAAAACGTGTAGATCACAAAAATTCGAATGTTGATCGAGGTTTCGAAAACTTGTTGTGCCGTATTCGTTGAAGTTGTCATAAATTTCAGTGTTTGATTTATTAAGCGCACAAGAAGTGATTGGGAACTTACAATTTTCCAGTTGCCTCAAATCTCTGTCATGCATGCCATTCGTTTGGCGGAGCAGCTTAAGCTCTCGACCATAAAACAACGTCTTTTTGATACAATCTCAATTGATGTGTTCAGGTGAGAGGTGTTTCTTTGCAAATGACCTTCGTAAATCCGTTGTCGTTCACTGGATATCTCAATTTTATAGATCTCTTGCATCTGACGAACAGTACAAGAAAATGGATGCTGAATTGAAGGCTGAACTACTTGAGAAATGGGGCACTTTCCTGTAAGACGAAAGGTTGTCCGCTTTGTTATGCGTTGGTTTTCTCTAATTCATAGTCATTATAGTGGATATAAAGTTTATCTTCTTCTGCTATTATGTCTTTTTCAATTCGAACCCGTGAACTACTAATCTATCATTTTCACCTCACGTGGCCTCATTTCTTCCTTAACCGATGTTCCAAGTTATAATTGTCACGATAGTATTATCTTTAAAAGATATTATTTTATGTTTCCCATTTGTGATCATTGTTATTATAACTAGACCTATACTTTCCATATGTTTTCAATGACTTATCATTCTCGTTCCTTGTACTTATCGCTTTGCGCTAGCTAACACAGTCGATTTAGCCGTAACTGCCATACGGTTTTGAGCTAAATGGTCAATGTCTAATGATCTCTGTCCTAATGTTTTAGGTGTAATACCAGTTTCTTGAGTCTATGGTGATCAATGTTGAATATTTGATATGATATCGTTAGCCCTAAACATGGTTATTTCAATTCTTTTCTGTTTTTGTTGTGTCGTTTATCCTTTTAGAAAAAGAACTAGTTTCATGTGAATCTGTGTAATTTGTCTCTTTCTCTAACAGGTTTTCTCATGAGATGTTCTTTGTGCTAACATATATCCATATGAAATTTCATTTGCTCTTAAAGTATATCCGTAATTGGCTGTCGATCTCAACTCACATTTGAAAGAATCTCGGCAATTTGGTCTGTCAGTTCACTGTCATATCATATGTGGAGTGATGTGATGATCATCTATCTACACTAATAGTTGTTGTATGCATTGTTCCTGTGAAAGATTCTATACGTTGACTATCCGTGATTCGTGTGTCTAGTTGTTACCAGTGCTCTGGTAGTGAAATTTCTATTCCATTCGAGTTCTTTATAACTATCAGTATTATTCGTTATACCGTTTTTATCAAAGAAACAAGCGCCTGGTAGAAAATCAAAAGCATTGAATGATGTGATGTCACAGAGTTGGAGCACAGTTTTCCTAAGTGGTTGCAAAAGATCAGCTCTGTACAAAAGATCTGCTCTCAGAACTTAGACGCTTTTTTTATTGTTCTTGCTTGGAATCAGAATTCCTACTTAATTCAAATGTTATGACCATATGAACACTGAAAGAGGATCCTTTATGGATTTTGCTTTTCAAGAAAGCTTTAAGGCTTCGGCTACCATGAGTAGACCGTCTTCACATACTGTGCGATTTCATTTCACTAATCCTGTTGTGATACGGTTATTATCCATGAAGGTACTCCGGATTTCTTACGATGATGTAGGAAAGTTTATAATGTTGGTAGTCGTTGGTGAATCCTGCCTCCTTTGTCGACCTAGCAGAGGTTTTTTCTTTCACCCATCGTCATCTTGTTTCATGGTTTCGCTTTCGATGTTCAGTTTTACAAATCTACTGTGCTTGGGTATTTCAGATTTCTTAGTTTGTAAGTGAAAACACCTTTAGCTAGAGCCGATGGATTGGAAAAAGAAGAAAAAACAGATAGGAATGAAGGCTATTAAGACTAATGCAAGAGATGATTGGCCTAAAATAGTCGCTAGAAGAGTCTCAAAACTTTTGTTGCGGTGGGAAGTCCGAACAAATATTCACCATCCACAAAGATTTTGGGGTTCGCGTGTTGATTCGGCTACACACCTGAGGACTTTAATTTCCTCATAACTGCTATTGAATGCTGGTCGAGTTGATTCTCCATATATTGCATAACCGCGACCCCAGGGAATCATTGCACGTAGTTGTCTGCCTCTGAGTGTCAGAGCGAGTTCTCAGACAAGTCTGGTAGGAATTTGGAGAGGCCGAAGACTTGGTTGAGCTGAAGCAAGGCCTAGTCAGCCATCTAGGTTTTTAGGTTGAAGTCTATATTTTAATGTCGAAATATATTAATAATCTTGATGTTCTGAGGTGAGAAATATTCAGAGCTACACGAACACGCAAATACCAGCATTATTTCCAGTGCTACTTATTAACGCTTACATTATTTTGGTATCCACTCTACTGTTCCTTTCGTCCATCTTTCATCTGTTTTCCTTATTTTGTGAACTGCCTATCTGTGTTTCGTTATTGATGTATATTCTCCTGAATCCTTAAGGTTGGTTAGGTTTCGAAGATCTGAGCTACGTATTCCGGCTAGACGTTGTGAGTGTCGGTCAGATTCCGGAAAACATCGTGCCAGCGCTCTATGGGTGGTGTCCATACTTCTCGACGTGGTTGAAGTATCAGTTATGTCTCTGCTGCACAACAGAGCGCTAGCAAAACTGTTGCGTAGAAAACGTGAGCGCGGAGGTTTGGGTCCGTTAATTGGCCGATGGTTTCTTTGAGAGGCTCGAATGCGGTCCATGCCATTCTTTTTCAGACCAATTCCTCTTCCACGTTGTTCGCTGTGTTCACTGAACATCAATGGTGCACGTACAAGGTGGTCTCTTTAATCAAAAAATCATCCATTTAGATTTGCTCGCCTTCCCACCTTCTTCATTGGGTTCTTCATGAACTCGATCTTCTTTCTATTTATGCGCAGTTCACCTTTTTCCCCGCTTCATTGAGTTCGTCGAGCATCGTCTCTGCTTCACTGGTACTCATCGAAACGACGATGTCATCCGTTAAACGAAGATTAGATGGGAATTTTTCATCAGCACGTATGCCCTTCTTGCCCCATTCGATTGACTTCATTATCCACTGCAGTGCGGGAGTAAACAGCTTTGGCGATATTGTGTCGCTTTGTCGAAACCCCTATCCTATGGATGTGGTGAGGGGTTGATGGAAGAGCTGTATATTTGTGCTGCAATTCTGATAACCGTCTGCTATTGCTCGTATACAGGACGTGTTCTCCTTGGTCGACGAACGCAAACGATTGCATTCGTTTCGACGCTGTCAGACGCTTTTTCTTAGTTAACGAAGGTCAAGACAAGGTGTATATGTACTCCCGACAGACTTCTATAATCTGTGTTATGGTTTGGATGTGGTCCATACCGCAGAATCGCTGTCGGAATCCTGCTTCAATTGGTTGTGCGTCATTCAAGGCGTTCTATAAGCCCAAAAGGAAAATCTTCGTGAATAGCTTGTAGAGTACGCTCAACCAGCATACAGGACTGCAGTTAAGAAGATTCCTTTGTCACCTTTCTTGAATGTGATGACCGTTCGCGAGGTCGTTCACTAGTCTGTGATTTTCGCTTTCCGAAGGTACGTTGATGTTATGTAGTTTGCGAGGAGTGCATGTAATTTGTGGCTTTCACCTTTAAGAAAATCAGCGGTGATGTTATCGGGTTCTAGACTGTGCCTCTTTCTATTCATGCTTTCTATTTCGCAACTTGGGCGTCAAAGTGTAGAATCGCGGGCGGTATTTCACCAATGGGGATTTCGGGCTCTGAGACGGGAGTAGTGGAGCAAGAAAAATTGGTATAGAACTTTTCCGTTATCAGTTTCATATGGTGGCGACATGTAATGATAGTCCCATCTTCGTTCCTTAGGGCGGAGAGCAGGACATTATAGTCGCAAAGATCTCGACGGCACTTCTTCAAACTTGATCATTTTTGAGCTGCTTCCAACAACTGTTTTTGCCTATTATTATCTTTTTTTATTTTATACAACACATCACATTTACTGTGCGGATCTAAGCACTTCTTACATTTGATTCGTTTTCTCACATCTATCCAATAAGGTCTTCGTCTTCCAATTTTTTTACGTGTGGTTTCACTTGGTGCTTGAGGATTTTGATTTCATCTTTAATGTCAAAGGATGTTGGTCGGGTCGGCTCTCACCAAAGTCCTGAGATAGTTGGACTAGAGCGTTCCCAATCGGATTGCAGAGAGTGGTTTTTCACGAACAAATCCAGCAGCAATTTCTCGAGCCACTGATTCTATCCTCCCAGACAAGTCCGATACTAATTTGCCGACCCCAGAAGAATGGAAGGCTTGGTGGGCCAAGGCGCGGGAATCGATCCCAAATGTATTGCAGGGCGTCTCTGACCACTGCGCCACACACGCCCTTATTTATTTGTCTGTTTTTTTTGCCTATACCGATGTAAACTCTACGGCAAGAATGTTCTATAACTGGTATTTATTATCAGTCCTGTTAGGTGTGCCTCAGAAGGACCAAGCTTTAATTTCTGTCTCTTGTTTGGCAACGCTATAATCATAATGAAGATATGGTTGGAACATCTTTTTTGACGAATTGAGGCGAGTTCAATACAGCCTTTAAGTCCTTCGACCAGCAGGTCGTAGTCCTCGGTTGGATCCTTCTTTATGTGCAAGTCATACGAGGAGAAGATCTTATCGGCAATGTCGTCGTCATACGCGACTTGTTTCGTTTTTCTCGGACGATGGCAGAAATTCTTTTCCAGCTTATGGCCTGGAGTCGAATCTTCGCACACAGAAGGCGGTGATCAGATCCAGTACAGAATTCAAGTACCACCGAAATGTCAAAGAGGCACCACTTTTTATTTGTGAGAATATAACCGATCTCCGCAGTGATTATTGCCATTAAGAGACTCCCATGTCCATCTGCGATTTTCCGCTTTATCAAAAAATGAATTTCCGTGGAAGCGGCATGCTACAGACAGGAGTCTTACAAGACGGTTTCTCTTCTCATTTCGTTCTCCTATTGCGAATTTGCGTTTTGTATCCTGCGTTCATTTTTGGTGGCTGTTCCTCATTTGGCATTGGACGCTCCACAAAGAATTTGTAGGATTTCTTTTCGCAGATTACTTTCTCGTACTGGTTGTAAAGTGTGTCCAGTTCGGTCTCATCAGCTCCACAAGTTGTTTATTAGCAGTTGATGACACTGACTATCTTTTGGCACGAATAAGAATGGCCAATTGAGGTAACAGGGCTTAGTATGAGGAAATGAATTGGTGTACGATAAAGCCAACGACTCCGGTATTTTTTAACGGAAATTTCCCTCCATGAATGACAAGGCTTCCGTCATCTAGTTGGCATACGTAGGTCTTCCTGCCTTTAATCTCTTGTAGGGCGACACATGGAATTTGATACAATCAGCGGCTTG